GGGACATAAAATAAGACTAATTATATCACTGCCATCTATACTTCAAACCCTAAAACAAACAAACAAAAACAAAACTGTAATTTCCACTGATGGAGAGATTCTCAAGCTCCCCAGATGATCTCCAATTTTTGCTTCTGAAGACCTAACAGGTCACTTCTTTCCACCCAAAGCCTTAACTATATACATGCAAACATATCCGGAATTTATTATTTCCAGTCTTAACATTTCCTCTGGGCTGATCTACTACTTATGATTGCCAACTGCCAAGTCTGACCTGAATATATAACAGCATCTCAAAAACTTAATACATGGTTGATGCTAAACCTGTTCCACCCAAGTCAACTCCATCCCAAGTAGCTAGTATTATCCCACCATCCATACCTTTCAAATAAATAAATAAATAAATAAATAAATAAATAAATAAATAAATAATCTAAGAGCCTCACTTGATGCCTCACTATCCCTCAGACCTCAGGCCCTCTCCCATCTCCAATCAACCACAAAGCCCTATCGTTCCCTGCCAAACATATCTGGAACTTGTCCACTTCTCACCATGTCCACTACTACAATCCTAACTCCAGGCCACCATCATCACTGCTCACCCCTTACTGTTCTCCCTGTTTTCTGCCCACCCTTGCCCCTCCAAGTCATTCTCCAAGGAACCAGAATGATCTTTTAAAAAACTAAAATTCCAAGAGCGAAAGACAAAGGGAGAATATTAAAAGCAGCAAGAGAAAAGCAGGTAGTTACCTATAAAGGAGCACCCATACGATTGTCAGCTGATTTCTCAACAGAAACCATGCAGGCCAGACAGGAACGGCAAGAAATATTCAAGGTGATGAATAGCAAGAACCTACAGCCAAAAATAATCTACCCAGCAAAGCTATCACTCAGAATCGAAGGCCAGATAAAGAGCTTCACAAATAAAAAAAAGCTAAAGGAATTCATCACCGCCAAACCAGAATTATATGAATTGCTGAAGGGGGTTCTTTCGGAAGAGGAAGAAGATAAAGGCAAAAATTATGATCAACAAATATGTAACTATCAACAAGTGAAGCTAAAAGCCAAGGGAAATAAAAACAAACAAACAAAAAAAAACCCTGGTGAACAATATTAACTGGTGAATATAATAGAATCAGAGGTATGGAAGGGGAGTGGACTGACGATTCTGGGGGAAAAGGGGAATGAGGGGTGCGGGAAGAGACTGAACAAAAACTGTGCACCTATGGATGAGGACAATGGGGGGTGGGGAAAGGGCAGAGGGTGGGGTGGGAACTTGGTGGAGGGGAGCAAATGGGGAGGGAGGGAAAGAGAAACATTTGTAATAATCTGAACAATAAAGATTTATTTAAAATAAAAATAAAAAATAAAAAATTTCACTTCACTGCTCAAAATCCTCCCATCATAGTTGGCAACAAGTAAAAGTACAAAGATCACAGAATTAGGAGTTCTAGCTGTGGCTCTGTTACTAACTATAATGTTTAGCAAAATGAAGTTGCCTCACCCTCCAAGGCCTTATTTGCTAAATGAAAAGGGCTGTAGGTTTATCTTTACAATTTTAATAGTTTAAGTCCAGTATATAATTTAATACATACCTCGGCTTATTCCATTTCTCCCTTTCAATAAAATGCTTATTTCATAAGTCCCATATCTCTCAGCACTCCCTTCTAGAACACTCACACAGGGATGCCGTGGTTTTCTCTGACTTTCTTTTGTTACCTTTAGGCAGAAAAGGAAAATGCAAAGGGTCCTCAAGCTTCCACAAGGGCAGGGCAATGTCTGATGTGTAACTCTAAGGCTGGGAGTTACCCACATGAGACCAGCCAGGACTGGCTTTGCCCTCAGATGGGTCATGTTAAGCTGCTCTACATCTTCCAGTTGGCACAAAACTAAAACGGACAAACCCGGAGAAAACCGAGTTGCAGACTCCTGCAAGCCAGGCCTCTATGTAGTCATAACATTGACCTTTTGATAATTTTTTTTCCTCTAGGACTTTCGGAAAGATTAAGTTTTAAATATAAGAATGATTTACCCCAGAAAAGCATCATTTTTTAGGAAAACCAACTAAAATATACAAACCAAGTGTTTCCCATGAAGTGAAAGGACAGGAAGTAGTGTAAAGTAGTGGAGGGAACCACACTCACGTGGCTTGTGTCGGAAGGAACACTAAAGAGACCAGATGACTTTTCCATTTCGGTCCACTTTTTAAATATTGTTTCAAGAAAACAGTGGGGAAAGGAGAGCACTGAAGCAAACCACAAGCTCCACCCTCACCCCCACATTCAGAAAACCTCCTCTGACTTGCCTTAGGACAAACTAAGCAAATAAAGATAAACCAGCCTCTCTTCACAGCTCTACCAACAGCCATCTTCCCCTTCTGCCTTTCATTCTGTCCTTTGGTCCCAATAACCACAATTAGCCGGGATATCGCTAATATTCTGGTTCTATATTCAGAGTTCACTTGCTTTGTGTTTAACTCCCTGCTTTTAGTCCCCAATCTCTATGCTTTCCTTGGAGTCACCAGAATAGTAAATTTGGGATCTTAAATTCAACCTACATTTTCTTAAAAATATACCTTTAACTGGGTATGTGAACAGAAAATTAATGCTAAGTATGTGACATGGGAGATTTTAGTTTAAAAAGCTAAATTAAATCCAAAACTTAGCCAGAAAAGTACCAATAGCCCTGCATCACACACTTAATTCCCTTTCATTCAAGCTCTTGGCTCCTAATTTTCCTCACAAAGGACATCCTAAGCCCTCCATCTGCCTGAGCCCTCAGCTTCACCTCCCAAACCAGCACTGCCTAAGGCCTCTCATGGGGCTGGCACTGTGGCTGCCGAGAGTGCCGCAGAATTAAAATGAATGCTGACTGCAAACACAGGCCGAAGATGAAAACTTTATCTCCACTCAATTGTTGATAGCATGTGCACTTGTGCAAAGAAAACCCCATTTTCCAATCACCAAGCTTATGGAGGATTTTGTTCATTTCAAAAGTCCACTCAAAAAATATGCAAGAGCCATCTAACCTACACAGTACGTATTTGAAATTATGTACGAAATAAAATCTTGGAGAAATCTCAGCGCAATTATCATTCATTCATTCATTTATTTATTTTACCAAAAAAGCAAGAAGTAAACTAGGATCCTCTTTCCTGAAAGGCTACTGGGAAGCCTACTGCTGAACTTACAGGATTTGCTGTCTTGCGGCTGACACTTGAAAACTTGCTCCAGCACCTGGTAGCAGATAGTCTATACTCAACTGTACTCTGTCTCCTGGGCACAGAGAAATACTTTTTTGGCATCCTACCCTGCACATAAGCCTTTTGGTTGGGTATTTGGTGGGCAATGCAAATATTTGCTATTTTATCTTAAAATTGTTTTAAAGCCATTTTTAGTTATCTAGATTTTTTTAAAAAGAATTAATGTTAAATTGTGTGTGTGTGTGTGTGTGTGTGTGTGTGGTGTGTGTTTTAACTGGGAAAATAGAACAGATCCTGTTTAACAAATAAAACAAAGCAAATCCCAGTAAGTTATTTACTGTCTTAATAATAAGGCAGGCTGACTGGCCCCCCTTGTGAGGAGGGAGAGCCTCGCTTTATCTTTCCCCGCCTTCATTCTGGCTCCCTTCACCTAAATCCCATCGTAGCACAAAAATGCGCAATAAATGGCTCATTCCGGTGAATCTTCATAAGATGGAGTTAAAGGCAGGGTTCTGCCAACTTGGTCATTTCTACCATTTCCTTTTTCGGCCCTTTCTCATTTTCCCTCAGCCACCGAACAAGTCCCATTCTGAAGACGTCTGGAGACACTAGAGCTCAAGAGCAAACTGCACACAGAACCCTAGCCTATTCTAAACCCAGGTCATCTTTTCCTCCTTAAAGATAAGGGTTATCTTCGCAGCTAAGGATCCTGGAATCTGTTTTTTAACCTTGAGGAATTTTACCTTCCAGCACTATGTAAGACTGCCTTCTAGGTACACACTCTGAGCAATGGATACGCACATGAAAACGTTTATCCAACAGATGTAACAAAACCACAGTCTTGAACAGATAAACTTTAAAAAATTTACTTCAAACACTTACTTGACTCTCTTGATCTGGATTTTGGAGTCACTAGCACTAATTTAGAATTTCAGTGATAGGATGTGTTCTCTGACTCACCTCATTCAAACACAATGCTGCCATTTGTGGGGGGGGGGGGGGGCAGAAAGGAGAACTTCTTTGTTTAAAAAGGTACAGTATTAAAAAAAAGGTACAGTATTTTGGTTACTTGAAAAAGCCATAGTTGAAAAACATTCTGTTTATATTTGCAACTTACTCTAATGTCACCACACATCCCCCTCTTTCTTAGGTAGTAAATACATTAGAACAGAACTTTAGTTTCAAAGTTTCTTAACAATTTACAAGGCACAAACTTTTAAAAAGTAATGCTTTGCTTTCAACATTTTGGCCTTGTTTTGACTTTTTTAATGGTTTTGACCTCAAGAAAAACTAACTGGGGCTGAGGAAACAAACAAAAAATATTTTCTTTACAGTGCTAAAGAAGCCAGTGTTCCCTGAAACAAACCAAGAAAACAAAACAAAACAAAAAAAAACACCACCAAACAAACAAAAAAAACAAAAGCAATACAGCCCAAATCATTCAATGAAATGTTCTCATGTTAGAAATGTCCTCTACATTATTGGGTTATTCAGGTGTGTACACACTTTTCAAAACAGCGACCCGCACTCTCATGATCTCTATATTTTATTGCATGTAAATTGTGGCTCAATAAAACGATTTTAATTTTTTTTTTTAACCTCTGGGCAAATCACATTTCAGTATCTGCCAATCAGTATTCCATCTTAGACCTGAATTTCTGGTAGGTCAACAATATCCTAAGGGCAAAAAGAATTTCCTTATTCAAAAGCTACTGACACTCCGCCCCCAGCTCTCCAGAACTTCCATCTAAAACCTCTCAGCACAGGGACAGTGGCCCAGATATGAAATTCCACTCACCTCAACGGACTGAGAAGGCATTTTCAGCTTGGTGAGCTTAGCTTTGGCAGGCACTTTTAAGTCGGTTTTTTCAAAGGTCTGTTGCCGGTAATCCTCCGGCAGCGGTTTCAGTTCGGGAGACTCGCTAGGAGCCTGATCTTGACCGTCCATGGGCCGGACATAAGCCGTGGGCTTCTGCTGCATTGCAACGCTCTTGGAGGGGAGGGGGGGCGGGGGGAAAGACTGAGAAGGTGGCTGGGGAGGGGCCACTCCCAGGCTGGAGACTGCCATCAGACTGTCCTTAGGGGTCTCTTTGTCCCGGATCTTCAGGGCCAGGTCCTTGGGAGATTTGGCGTGGCAGCAGCCTTTACTGTTGTTATTGTTACCGCTGTGGACCTTGCTGCTTCCTTGTGTCCTGGGAAGAGCTTGCTGGTTGGAATGTGGAGGTGACAAAGGGGGTAACGGGGAAGGTAGAGAGGAGAGGAGGGGAGAGAGCTCCCTCTGGGGAGCTGGGTCTGCCGTCGAAGCACAGTGGTCTCCTTCGGCTCTGCGGTCACCGTTCCTTCGATGGCTAGAACCGTACCCCTCCTGGCCAAGGCGATCTGGGGCCAGGTGCTGGCTGTCCGGAGCGCCATAGCTTTTCACGTGAAGACTTGGAATTGGTTCCATCCTTGGCTGTGTCACCTTTTGATGGTGGCTCATGTTACCAACAGGAAGTGGTCCAGGGGCGGGAGCGCTCCCAGGCTGGTGATGGACGCGGTTGTGGAAGGAGTGCGCTGGGACGCCGCTCCCCTTCTCGGGAAGCAAAGGGCTCCTCTGCTTTCCCGGCCTGTTCTCAGAAGCATCCAGGTGATGAGTGAGAGACTTGGTACTGAGCAACTCCTTTACTTCTTCATAGTTTCCCAGCATGTTCTGTATTCGACTAGAGAGCTCATCGCCTTTTTCTGTCTGGAAAAAAAAGAAAACAGCAAAGTTAGATACTGGTGGGGGGAAATCTAAGAAAACCCAACATGTAGTAAGCCATGTTACATAATGCCATTAAAAAAAAAATGCCTCCATTTAATGTGCAGCATAGAATTTAACGTGCAGTGCAAACTAACTCCTTGCTGAGAAGCCAGTCGTGGACAAATATTACTACATATGGAAGACTAACATTACAAAAGAGAACCACAATCTTGGGCAATTTTGACTTACAAAGTTCAGGGAATTTTCATATTTGTTTTCAGAAATAATCCCTAGGATAAATTGTCTTATTTTTCACAGTCATGGCTGTGGTTCAATCTCCCTCTCACCACAGAGTTAAATAGGATGATAAATTAGACTTTCTAGCAAACAATAAATACCTTGTAGGGCTCTCCAAAAAGGGGAATCTTTTCAGAAAACGCCTCTTTCTCTTGGTGAGCTTCCTGGTTGCGTCTTTCCTTCTCTCTAATTCGAAGCAGGTTTCTGTCTTCATTGTACAAGCTGTTTCAGATGTCACAAAAGAACAAAAACAGTAAAATTTACCAGTATCCGCGTTGTGCTATGCATATGTACATGTTTGAGGGAGGCAAGCTAAGTCAAGAAGCAGCGATGACAGGGAAGACGATGTAAAGAGAGCATAAGTCACCCCTGGACTACGGCTCAGTTAACGGGCTGTGGCCCTCCAGCCTCGGTTCTGGCTCTAGAAACCTAAGCATTCCCTCTGGGCGACTGGCTGCCTCCGTGGCTCAGGACTGACTCCAAACCCGAGTCTTTTATAGGCAGTGGTGGAGATGGGACAAGATTAATGATATTTTTACTTTCAGCTTGCAAGCTATAGAGTAGAGGTGGGAGCTTTTCATCTGAAAGAATCAGCAGGATGTGAACTTTAAAAAAGCGGTTTTCCTGGCTCAGTATTGCACATTTTGGAAGATTAAAATCAAAAGGCTCGTTTTGTAATTAAAAGATTACCAGGCACCCAAAACAGCATTTACTTTATACTCAGCCTATTCTACAGAGGGCTCTGGCATGTAAACTTGAGATCATTTTTATTTCTCATTTCAAATGCCAAGGATGGGAAAATGCAACTTTAGATGAAAAGTCTACCTACTGAGAAGTCTTATCATCCAATTGCTCTATTTAAACCACATAAAAGTGGACCCCGAATCATGAGCCCTGGCACCAAAAAGGTTAAAAAGCATTCTCTAACAAGCAAAGCCAAAAGATTGTAGTTTTAGCTAGCACCCAAACCAAAAGTGGGCCTGCCCCATGTCAGCAACACAAGCTACTCGCGCCAACCCACACATGTGAGACATGAGAACAAGGAAAATAAGAACAACTTTACTTCTAGGTATTTACTGAATCTTTCCCCCCAATATTACTTGAATAAATAAGTAGGAAAATTGTCTTTATTCAGTTGTCTCGTCTTTATTATTGTACCTTTAGAAATTCTAGCCGTGATGTCAAACACACTCCCTGACCCTATATCCTGGTCTCTCTGCTCTCTCATAACTTCTCTTATTTCCTCTGACAAGAAAGAGTTTACTTACTAGTCTTCCTGCGTCCTTCACATCTTGTCCCTCTAATTTAGACTTGTCTCATGGAAAGAAATCCTAAAGATGGCCCTGGTTCTCATGTCACTATTCATATTTAAAAACAATAAGCATTTGATGGCTCTTTACTACTGCAGGAAAAAAAAAAAAGCCACTCTTATTTTTTTATTGATTGATTTTAGAGAGAGAAGGGGAGGGGAAAGAGAAAAAGATCAATTTGTTATTCCACTTTATTATGCATTAATTGATTGATTCTTCTATGTCCAATCTTGGTGTATCAGAATGATGCCCCAACCAAGTGAGCTACCCGGCCAGAAGAAACTCTAAATCTTTACTTTGGCAAGAAAATTCCCCCATAGTCTAGTACAGAACTACTCTAGAAATGATCCCACTCTCTTGTAGCAGGTCTGCCACATGCACCCACTTGGCAGTATTCCTGAAACATATCCTATAAAGATGAGCCTCTTGCTCTAATCTCTATCACAAAACCCTCTTTTATTGAAAGATCACCAATTCTTCCAGGACCAGCTTAACTAGGAAGCATGATTCTCCTGCAAACCACCTCTATATTCCAGACGCACCAATCTATGCCCTGGCTCCTCAGGAACATCCTGAACTTCTACTTACACACATTTCCTCTGCCTCTCTCGACTGTGCATCCACATTCCCAACTCTCAGCTACCAAAAAAATCTCTAGGAGTGATTACAATGTCACCTACTCTAAAGGCTTCCTCAAATCCACCGAGTTTTGTTTTGTTTTGTTTTTTTTCCTCCAATATTCACCCTGGCCCTGGCCAGTGTTGCCCAGTGGATAGAACATCAGCCCTCTCATGGAAGGATCTCAGGTTTGATTCTCGGTCTAGGGCATGTTACCTGAGTTGCAGCTTTGAACTCTGCCCCCTGTTGGGGTGTGTATGAAAGGCAACCAATCTATGTCTCTCTCTCACATCAATATTTCTCTTTCTCCTCCCCTGCCTCCTTGCCTCCCATCCATTAAATATCATTGGGTGAGGATTAACAAAACAAAACAGCCGGGACTGGTTTGGCTCAATGGATAGAGCGTCGGCTTGGGGACTGAAGGGTCCCGGGTTCGATTCCGGTCAAGGGCATGTGCCTTGGTTGCGGGCACATCCCCAGTAGGGGGTGTGCAAGAGGCAGCTAATCGATGACTCTCTCATCGATGTTTTTAACTCTCTATGTCTCTCCCTTCCTCTCTGTATAAAATCAATAAAATATATTTTAAAAAAATTGACTCTGGAAGACAATCTGAAGGTAGGGAGAGGCTAAACTATCTGGTTGAATTCACTGGTGTGTGGTAAATAATTATCTGCTTAGACAATCGTATCAAACACGTTGTCTAGCCCTGAACAGTATGGCTCAGTTGGCTGGAGTGGCCTCCCGGTGGAGGAGGGTTCAATCCCTCGTCGGAGTGCATATGGAAGGCAACAAATCAATGTTTCTCTCACAATGATGTTTCTTTCTTTCTCTCCTCCTCTCTAAAATCAATTGGGCGGGGGGGACTTTTGCCTAGATGATGGATAGCTGAAATATAATATTTTAAGAAAACTCTTAAAACTATAAAGCGAACACAGTGAAAAGGTTCAGGAGAAATTCAACCAGAAACTGGCTACAGTGAGTAGTCTTTAATAGTCAGAAATCTCACTGACTTGCTTCTGGGGGATAATAGCACAATGGGCATGATGACCATTCAAGAATTCCTTACAAATTATTTTATGATTTTGGTAATTACTCCTGTTGGCTCAAAAATTATGTAACATGAACACACAACCATGGCAGCCAAGAAAGAGGGCTGATCAGGAAATAACTTCTTTTTTTCCTTCAAACTTGCTTTTCAGCCTATTTGTTTGCAGGGCAGGGTGGGGCATGAGACTGTCTCTGAGCAACCTGAACTCCAAGCTTCTTTCCTAAACCTACCTGCAGTGGACCAGATCCCAAGGCATCTGCCTGGCCCCTCTTTCCAGACTATGCTGGTTACAACAGTGCAGTCCCTGAAGCTTTATTCACTTGTGAGTGTTTATACAGTTTGGTTCTGCTTTACAGAGTTTTTCCCACGTCTGAGTAACTGCCACTTTTGTCTCAGAAAAAGGAACCCCAAATGGCAAAATTCTCAGTTCCATATTGAAAAGCAAGCACCTCAACCATCAGGCTGCTCGGGTTCCTCAATTAATTTTCCTGCCACGTCCACACATATCTTTTAAGAAAAGCTACAGTGATTTAAAAGTACTAAACTACTTCTAAATCAATCAGCATCAGTTTCTAACACACTTCTACATTTCCATTCTAAAGTAATAAAAACTGCTACAGAAATGAGAAAACCCCAATTTTATAAAATTTCTAACACTGGCTTTCTTGCTATGTGGTTCAAAAATCATGCCTCCCACAGGGAGGAAGTCCTGTTAAATTAAGAATTCTGGTTAATTAAGGTTTTACTTCTTTTGTTTAAAAAAGCATTTAGCCTTAGGTGGTTTGGCTCACTGTATAGAGCTTTGGCCTGTGGGCTCAAGGGTCCCAGGTTTGATTCCAGTCAAGGGCATCTGTTGGGTGGTGGGCTCGATCCCCATTTGAGGGCTTGCAGGAGACAGCTGATCAATGATTCTCACCACAGATGTTTCTGTCTGTTTCTCCCCCTCTCCCTCTCTGAAATCAATAAAAATATAAAAAGACAAAAACAAAAACATTTAACCCACACCAGGATTTTATTAGCAGATGTAATAAATACTATGCCAATTTTAAAACAGACATTGAACCTTTTTTTCTTTTCTTTATTCACCATTCCCCTTCAAATGAAAGACCCAAAAATAGTCAGGTGAGTAAAGACAACTTGAGCGTCACTGGTAGGATGAGTTTTCTGAAGCCTAAACTTTGAGAGAAACTCACGGTCACCCACACTGATGGGCAACTCCCTGTTGGCCTCACTCCCCAAGGCTCCTCCTGGGCAGGCAGAGGAAGGCAGAACAGGAAGTGGCCTCCACAATCCCAGGGCTATATAAGGGAGGCTGTGAGCACTCTGTCTCCTGGATTGCCTAACTTCTCCTTGTAACTAACAGGGTTTTGCCAGTTGTCCTGGGTAGTTTTTGGATTTATTGGGCTTTTACTTATTTCCAAGTTTGCAATGGTTTAAGAAATGGCTTGGTAAAATGACTAGGCGAATACATTCCTTTTTTTAGTTCCATTTTGAAATCAGGGGAAACATAAATTTTAAAAAACATGACCACAATTCACAGCATGAGTAAACCATTGTTCAACCTCTACATACACATCATTGTTTTTAAAACAAGGTGCAAGCAGGGAGAAGGTGGATGGAAATTTTTTAAATGGGGGATTTTAGGAAGCAGTAAATGTCCCGCACGATTCATAGACTCTGTAATTACCATTGAATAATTACAAGTTGACTATTGCTTCATTTAATTAAAGGCTTCCCCCACCCCCCTGGTATGAAAGAAAAAAATGCACTCTTGCTCTCACAGGATAACCTCACCAATGTCAGCCTTGTCAGACCCTCTCTCCTCAATGTCCCGCGTGGAACACAGTGAGTTACAAGTCCCACAGAGCACTCACTGCATTAGATAAGAGGTTACCAACTTTTAGTGCACATCAGGATCAACCAGGGGCTTGTTAAAACAGATTGCACAGACCCACCCCCAAAGTTTCCAAGTTAGTAGATCTGACGTTGAACGAGTTTCTAGGCGATTCTGAGGACTACAAGAGAATACCCTCTTTCTGGGCTGTATGTTTCACGTTAGGCTTACCAAAACACCATGGCAATGATGACAGCGGCGGCCTGGCCAAGACTGCCACCACTTAGCATCTGTTATTCAGCTGGCCCTGATAGGCACATCAAATGTGTCCTATTTAATTTCTAGGACTCTGTGAAAGGGGGATTATTAACTCCATTTCCCAAGTGGGGACACACACACACACACACAAAAA